GAGAGAGAGAGAGAGAGAGAGAGAGAGAATAAAACATGGGCTGTGCTGTCATCTTTATCCTTTAGAAATCTAACAAAAAATTCCTTTGCTAAATTATGGGTGCTTTCCATTTAATAACATATTATTCTGTCTTTCTTGATATTCCAATGAATAACAAAGATAAAACAACGTTTGTATCACCATGGAAAGCACTCTGTGTTTGATTTTTTTTTAATAAAAATATAATAATTTTTCTGCACTTAGATTGGTACATATCGACATATCTTTGTGAGAAATATGATATTACATTTTTATAACACTGCATTATGACAGCTTTTATTTAATAATATTCAGAAAAATAATCCAAAACATGACTTAGATTGAATAACTATTGAAAAAGCATTTTAAAAACCTCGTAAAAGTATATTTTCTAGAGTCTCCAAAAGATAAACTTTTCTGGTTAGCGCAACGATTTTTCTTGGCGCTCAAATAATGGATCCAGTATTTTTTCATGTTGCGAAAGTTTACAATACGTTAACAGTCCATGCCGGCAGGTATAACCGGCGCTTAATTAAGGCCGGATTGATCAATTTGTCATCATGTACAGAAATTTTGTATTATGACAGGCCTGGAAGGTTTATGCGATTTAGCATGAAGAAATCACTGGTGACAGACGCGGCAGCTTTTGTTTCGTTTTTGCAAAGCGCATCTCTTAAATCGAAATAACCGTATCTCTGAAGTTGGCATGAATGAAAGGATGTTTTTGCTTTATGCTATTTTTATACCGAAAATAAAATTAATTTATACAGTAATATAATATTGAAGAATTAAAAATAATAAGCTTCTTAACAATTCAAGATATTTTTCAAAAATACGGCCTGAGGTTCAACCAATCATTACCCGACTCTCATTGCATAGAACGTAGAAGTGGGAACGACATATGAATTTGAAAGATCTATAGAGTCTCGTTTTTTGAAAGCTTTTTAGTTCATTAAAAAATTTTGGTAAATGTTTAGTTTACAGTCACATAAGGGACTCTCAACTCTGATGACCTTGATATTGACATATGTTGTCAAAGTCATGACCTTAAGTAACTTTGAGGCACGTCTAACAGGTTTTAGCAGGGTTGAAAAAAGTTACTTTTTAAAAGTAACGCATTACCATTATCGTTATTTGCGATAAAAAGTAACTCGTTACCGTTGCTCATTACCGATTCTAAAAAGTAACGATACAAAATCGTTACTTTTCGTTACTTTTTTTCTAATTATGCAAAAGACGAGTCTACTCACCGATTTTGATGAAATGAGAATGATTCGACGCGCGTTTGCACAAAATGAATGAATCTGGCAGAAAAATAAGTGTCGCTCTGCCCGGCGAAGTGAGATATTAATAGTTAAAGTTGATGACTATTGAGGTAAAATTTCGTGGAAAAATGCATCGAATGATCCTAGTTTCATCAAAATTAATTAATAAGCCTGTTTTCTGCATAATTACACTTTTTTTTAATGTTAAAACGGGCTTTTAAGATAAAATGCTAAGATAGAATATAAATTAAATATAAGATATATTTAGAAAGATATTTATCTTTGAACATTTTTATCTTTTAATATTTTACATATTTATGTTTAATTCTACGGTATTTTATTATATAATAGATATTTTAATTTTTAGTGTTCTTATGCTAAAGCGAGAATAGTGAATGAAACAAAAAATAGGCAAAAAGTTTTTCGTTTATTTAATACCTATAATCTTATTGTCCGTGACGGCTACGGTCTATAAAAAAATAACGATAAAAGAGTAACAGAGTTAATTTCGTTATTTGTTACTAAAGAAAATGTAACGTCGTTACTTTTTCGTTATTAATAAAAAAAAAGTAACAGCGTTACCAAATCGTTACCAAAAAAAAAAAAAACGAAAATGTAACGACGTTACAAGTAACGCGTTAGTTCCCAACCCTGGGTTTTTTAGTTGGTGCTCGTTACTTGTTAAAAACTTATTAATAAAAAGTTCACTATGCTTTACGGGGCGAAATGAGGTCTGTAATTGTACTGTTTCAGATAGATTTTTTAATTCCACGCAAAATGAGATCCACCCCACCTCCCCTTCTACCTCAGAATGTAAATACAACCTTCCACGTCAAACGAGGTTTATTTTTATTTCTAAACACGTATACCTATATATGTAGTAACTTTTTTATTAAATCTTTAGACTGCCGGGAAGGCCACTTTTGTGGCTTTTGAGTGTGGTTTAAAATACCATCATTTTTGATGGTATTTTTAATACTAATATTGTATTAAATATAATTATTGTATGCATGTTGCTCAAAATATATAAAAATATATAAGTATTGAAAAATATACAAAAAATTAAAATATAAAAAAATATTAAAATTATAAAACAAAAAAAGTAAAAAAATACAAAAAATAAATTTTAAAAACCAAACAAAAAATAAAAGTCAAAAAGGAACTACAAATTTTCTACATCCATGTCGTTAGCTCTGGATAATGTTAAAGGAAAGTTCTGAGTCTATACGTTTTTATATTCATTTATGTTGTCAATATTGCGCTTAGGGCTCGAAATTTTATAAATCTATACTCAGAATTGAAATCAACGATAGCAAAAACCTCCAAAATACACTATTTTTTAGAAAAACAATATACAGGGTGTCCCGACCTTTTTTGCCAATCATTATTGTGTAGATAGAGCGGACTAAACTGAGTCGAAAAGTCCTTTACCATTTTGCAATTTTCGTAATAGTTAACAAGATATTAATTACTAAAAATTGCAAAATATTGGTCTTGAATAATTTTTTACTCAAATACTATCAACTTTACAGAAAAACTGCAAGAGACAAAAATTATTTATTTTCTTCTCATAAAGTTCTGAGAATTTTTTCATAATTTTTGAATACCGTATTTTCTCATGTTGGTAAAAATAAGAAAATGCATACTAAAAAGTTGATAAAAAATTCTCAGAACTTTATGAGAAGAAAATAAATAATTTTTGTATATACAGGGTGTTCAGCGTAACGGTCTGCACGATTTTTTAGACACTTCCGACAATTAAAAAAAAGGATTGAAAAGTGATTATCTATTTATTTCATGCGGGCTACAACATGGGATAAAAAAATTAAAAAAATTTTTTTTTATAAAAAATGTCAAGATTATCTTGAATTTTTTAAATAGCACCATACAATTTTTTTCCGTAATATTGTAGGGATCTTCAAAACGAATTCAACACACTATCGAGATTGTAACTTTCATTGATATTTTATTGATTTTATTACATAATATTTATCACAAATACTCATTAATAAAGGAATACTTATGTGAACTTATTAACTTATGTGAACAAATTTTATTGATTTTATTGATATTTAACTTTTAGAGGGCCAGACTGGACACTATAGTGGCCAGCAGAAAACTCGTTGACTCCTCGTTCCGGCCATCGGGCTGGTCCATATGTACTTATAACACGATTTCCAAAGATAATTTTGAATAAAAATAGTATAATAGCTGCTACGCATACTAATTTATTAAAAAAGAGCAGAACTTTGTGTTGCAGAAAGAGGCAAGCAATTTGAACATTTGCTTGCATAAGTTACAGTTTTTCTTCATTAATT